TTCAGACCGTTGAATTTAAATAAAAGATATATATAACTCTGCAAGTAATCTTTTCTAATTTAGCGTAGGTTTTATCATAAGATACGCATTGTTTGGGATTTTTAATATAGCATAACAATTCCATTTAAAATTATTATTTTTGACTCCATAACTTTTAAGTTTGTACTAAAGAATATTATGGTTAACAGTATCATGGTTAAGTAACAGTATTATGGTTAACAGTATATGGTTAACAGTAAAGAATTTTGAAAGTTTAATACACTTCTATAGTATATTGGTTGTTTTTAATCCCATTTAAAATTTCTTTAACTAATTTCATCACTGCTTGTTCTGTCGAGTGCCCTTTTCTAAATCTGAACTGATTATTAATTAGAACTTTGTGAGTTGTAAAATAATTGTAAAGCCTATTATGAATTATACGCTCTAGAACTTTAAAAAAATTATAGGAGTATTAAAATAGGTCTAAAACTAGAAAACTTTGAAACATCACCATCTTTAAATGTTAAAATCACTTGGACCAGTTTCAAGAGGTCAGGAAAAACTCCAATTTTAAACGATAGATTAATGATAATAAGTAAGGGGTACTTAACGCAATTATGTAGTTGTTTCCAGTTTACTTTGATTATATAGTTTCCAAATCCCATAATATTATATTCAGTAATCTGCTTTTTTATTTCCGTTTGAACTTTTTTTTTTCCTTTTTTATAAAAATTAAATAAAAAAAAAAGGAATATAGTCGCATATATTACATTTTATGATCCGCTTTACATATTGCTTGTTGTAAAAATGTTATTAAAAATAATTTTAATGAAAGATTCGGTTTGAATAGTTACACGAAGTAGGCTAGCTAATTTAGGAAAAAATTTTGTATTGAAAAAGAGAGTTTAAGAAATGTTTATATCGCTAATAGTATTAATATTAGGAAGATTTTGGTTAAAGTCTGCGTGATGTAAACTTGTTTTTTTATTAAACTTTTTAATTATTATTTTAGATTTTTTTTAAATATTTTTTAATTTTGCATGGTAGTCTTTTCAAAGCAGTTATTAAAGCGTTTTTTTATTATTGTGGTTTAATTTTCCGCATTTTGAATGTTGCGAATATTTTACTACTAAAAATGGTTTTACTCGTGATTAAAATTGCTTACATCCCGACCAATGCCACCATCTTAACTTGATGGATTGTTTTATAATTTAGAACTTGAAATTTTTTATTTTTGCATTATTTTTCGAATACGCATTTTACCGTAAACTACGAATATATATTTTTTAGCATTGATTTAAAATTGATTAGTTTTCGAGCACTATCATTTTAAGTTATTATAAACAACTTTCAAAGATTTTAACTAGCTATACCTGATAAAAATGTTTTCTCCTTTTAGTTCTTTTTTTCGTTTCTATAAATAGCTTCTTTCAAAGGCTACCTTGTATTAATTACCTGACATAAAGGTTAGTACTGACCTTTATGTCAGGTAATTAACACAAAGTAACCTTTGCAAGAAGTTATTTATAGTAGCAAAAAAAAAATTAAAAGGAGAAAACGTTATTATCAGATATGACTAATTTAAATCTTTGAAAATTGTTTATAATAAATTAAAATGATAGTGCTAGAAAACTAATCAGTTTTAAATCAATGCTAAAAAATATATATTCTGAGTTTACGGTAAAATGCGCATTCGATACATGGTGAAAAAAAAAAATTTCAAGTTTTAAGATATAATTTCTCGCCAAATATGTTTGTGACCCTACTGCAGCTAAAACGAAGTTATAGTAGATCAAGACAAACAATGAAACTAATAAATGACACTAATATTCAGAACATATTTTTTTATAAGCCTAAATTTGTTTTTACATGAATAATACTTAAGGAAATATTTAGACTTTACTAAAAGATTTTAATATTTTCCAAATTTCACTTAGCCGAATCTTTTTTAAAAAAACGTTTGCACTGATTTCCCAATTATACACTCTTCAACGAAAAAGACAACAGTTTCGTTATTGCACTTTTTGCTGATTTACAAAGATATTTCCGTACCAAGTTGTTTTAAGCATTTTGTCTATATAAAAATAGATGTTGTAATGTAAACAATTTATTTGTCTACTTTAGCACACTACTTAATAACTCTTATGAACAAATTTATACCTGATAAAAATTCTCAACGATTAACAAGAAACAAAAATGTAAATACAATTTTTAAGTATTAAAAACATTAGAAGTATTTTATAGTATTTTATAATAAGAATAACATTTTTTTACTTATTAAAAGTAACAGTACTTTGGAAATTCCATTTACATACAAACTTAATTTTCCCAGTTAAAATTACATATAAAAATTAAAGAAAAACCATATACTTTGTCACCTTTATTATTCTTTATCCGTAACCTAATCAAATTTAGATGCAATACACTTATATTAGTATTATTGTATCCTACAGAGGCTTATGAGACACAACTTTATCATTAATTGCACTAACCAAAATATTAACCTTCATTTTATTTGATG